ACTCTTTCAGTGTAGATGTTCTTCCTAATATCCAATCTAAACCTCCCCTGCCACAACTTCAGGCCTTTTCCTCTGGTCCTGTCCTTATTTACTTGGGTCACTCAAAATCCCTCTCCACATCTTTCCATCCTAGGAGAACACAAAGTTGACAGGGAAGAGGAAGGTTGGTCAAAACTCTTTTCCTTTTGTAAGGATATTAATTTTGGAAGTAGTTTATGATGGCAGCTGCCCTGGTGCAGAGTACCTTGACTTCAAAGTCCCTTTAACGTTTTTCATACTGTAAGGGACAGTGTTCCTCTATCACCCACTCATACAGCACAAGTATAGCCTTCCTTATAAATAATCTTCTCTGAAAAGAGGTAAGAGAAAAGTTGTTAGGACTAAATGATCACATTGTTTCCTCAAGGCATTGTATTTTATAAATAAAAGGTAAGCATTTTGTCATTCTGCTGGTTGGTGTTCTGTAGGTATCCTGTAGCCGGCTGGATCTCTCTGCCTGTGATGAAGATGATAAGGTAGGTAAATGTGGCAACAAATGGTGCACATTCTTAAATGTTTCCCCCTCTTGAAAGTGAGATGCATTTGAGAACTGAAAAAAGTAGGAGAGCAGTAGTTTTGATGATGTGTTTATGCAATATGTCTTCAAAGTGCAGCACTAATTATGTATTCATTTGAATTAAGCCTTCTTATCCTTCCCTGCTTTTCATATTTAAATTATAGAAATCGATATTTAATAAGGGGGATATTCTAGTAAAACTTAATTCACTGAAAAGCTAATTAGCTTCTAAATAATCCATTTGACTGAGGCAGAAAATTGTGTTCAGTCAGTAACTTGACATTCCTTCAGTTTGTTTTTTTTTTAAAAAAAAAACACAACACCCTGCCTTTAAGTTCACTTATTAATTTTTCCATGTCTGCCTGTATCAGCATGCATATTTATGTGTTTTTGTCTCCTAGGGTTGGACTGAAAGTCACCTAGATATATCTGACTGTTCTTCCAGTTATCAAGATGTATCATGCTATGGTACTTTACCTAGAGAGTCGCCTCGCAAGAGCAAAGATGGCAGTGGTGAGACTTTATATATGTAATGACAATGTTTGTGTTTTTTTTAAAATTACTGTGTTAAACTGAAAATTAAATTCTCAGTGCTCCTTGTTTTCTGCTAAATGCAGTATTCAGCTTCTGGCTTCAGCAGCTTAAAACATAGTCTGGATGTAGGGGAGAAAGGGAGAAATGCATGAAGACAGACCGGAAGGATGGGAAACTGAAAGTGTCCAAAAAACCAAGAGTAGGGCAGAAGAACAAGTTAAATGGGAATGAAAACAGAGAAGAAAGAAAAAAACCCAAGCAAAACAACAAAAAGGAGCTACTGTTATTTTATGATTTCCATTATATTATTTTTTTTTAAGTGGGAAGAGTCCTTTTCTGGGATCTTTTAATGATTTGGGTATTTGGTCTGCTGTGTCAGTGTGTCACAGGTGCCTTTTTTCTTTAGGTCAAATTGTAACATGCTCTCCTTGATCAGGCAATACAGGTAGAGATACTGCTGCAATTAAGTGGGTCTGAGTTGCTTCCTTGCCTGTCATTTCCTTTTTGATCATCCAGGTCATTCAGGATTGCTGGCTTGGTTCCAGGGCAGGAGTGCAGTGTGGGCAGAGGTCTGGTGAGACACAGGAAACAGTTCCAGGAGATGAAGAGGAGAAACACTGGAGCCTCAGAATGGAGGGGGCCAATACTGCTTTTCTCTGCTTTCATTCTGTTTCCAAACTTCTCAAAGAGGCTCCATTTCTCCTCACTGAGCTCTGTGTTATCTCATGCTTGGGCCAGTGGTTGGATATAGAAATTCTGACATTTTTCTGTAGCCAGCAACTCGCCAAGTGCGTGGCGTAACCTTCAGTTATTTTGAATTCTGCTTTTGCCGTCAAGATATGAAGAACTGAAATACAACATTCTTGCTCTTTTACCCAGGTGTTGTAGCAGAGAATTCCCATGCTGTAATGGCCAGCCCTTTCAAAGCATTTTCTCCCCAGCCACCAAAGTTTTTCAAGCCCTTAATGCCAGTGAAAGAGGAACATAAAAGGAAGACCCCACTTGAAAGCCGACCTCTGCTCAGTCAAGAGGTAATCTTAGAAAACCATCTGTATTTTTTAAAGGAGATGGAGTGATTTTGTGTACTTTTCAAATCACAGCATGCATGTGTTGCCATGGCTTTTTTTAATTCTCTGGCAAAATTAATCGAGCAGTCTTTTATATGTGGTGGGGTTTTGGCATTTGGTTTTTACTTGAAACACTGGGGGTTTTATTTTTCACTTCTTGGTAAATATTTTCCTTTACTGGGTACTTCTGTTTTATTTTAAAGTAACAGTAACCTGCAATTATTATTTTATTTTTCTCCAGTAAGATGTTGGTGTGTTTTTTGATAGATAAACTGCAATTCTGTGAAACAGTGTTCTAGGGTGGTTATAATTCTGACTTTGATTCATCTGTCTAAAGCTCTGTTGGGAGGAGTGCATGAGTGTCTCTGCCTATTAACTTGAATTTTCATGTACACACGGCCAGCATGGGTGTTTCCTCCTACCTTAATGTCTTTTAACTTGCACACATCGAGCGCTGAGGTCGGAGCTGTGGTTTGTGTGATGTGTTGTGTGTCTTAACCTTTGCAGAGCATGCCTCCATCTCGGGTGCATTGTGCTGGCTGTGTTGTGCCTTCAGGAAGTAATGCCAGCAGCATGCCTGTAGAAAACAATAGCATACGTGAGGAAAAGATTGTAAGTTCTTGTACCAGTTTCTGCTGTGAGGCCTGGTGGTGGGCTTAGGGCCATTTGGTGGAGGGCTTGAGGCGCTTGTGCTACTGCCGCAGGAAAAAATGGTGTCATGTGGGTATAATCCCTTGTGATTGATTGCAACTAATGGTTATAATGAGCAGTTGCTTGCCTGGCTTGCAGACTCAATTGGGGGTTTTTTGCATTTTGTTTTGTGGTTGGTCTGGTTTTTTTTTTTGTTTTAAGGTGGGTTTTTAAAAATATTTGTATGTATTTTTGTTCTGTG